AACATGTCTCAATAAACGAAACATTTTTCTTGCACCTGCTCAATCTATGCGAGGCGCAGACCGCGATAACTTTGTGAAGCTGGCGTGGGCGGTCAGACCGATCAATGCGTAAACGACGGGGATCGCCACAATCGCTATAGTCGTCTCCTTTCTTGCCGGTCGATGTGCGCACCCTAACGAAGGATAAGCGGCTAGATAAACGTGCAACACTCCATGGGTATTAAACAGACCCAAGCAGCTGCGAACGTGGCGACATCACCCGTGTGTATGCGGATGCCAAGCATGGCGACGTCTATGCTTTGTGGGACCATGGCTCTCGGCTGCTCCGCCGAGTTACGATCGCGTTCTTGGTGCTCTGCTTGACTCTACTCTGAGAGGGGGCAGAGGTCACAACTAGTAACCATTTATCCGCGTTGGTTCGTCCACTCGCTGGGGCGTACCTCTTCATGTTCGTTCCGATTTCACCGGTAGATGTGTTTCCCTAGCTGGTCGGCCACAGGGCTGTGCTTGACTTCTTGACATGAGCCACCCGAGCAAGCAGCGACGCGCCGATGCACGAAGCCCCTCCGTGTTGATTTTCGGGGCTGGGTAATTACTATACTATACAAGGGTACCATAAGGCTAGCACCGTACTATGTCAAGGTACCAAGAGGGTCGTAGGAGCTGCAGCGGAAGATAGAGGCTCTTCTTTTTCTCCAGTCGCCTGCAGGAACAGCCTTCAAGCTCTGGCTCTCTGACAGGGGAGTGCAAAGTTCCTTCGAGCCCACATAGATCCCACGGCCTGTGTAGGCATCGGGACCTACATGGATAGTCCTTCACCGCGCATTGGGCAGCTCGGAACCTCTTGCCTGTCTTTTTGAACTAAATGGCAGCTTCCGGGGTTCGCCTGTTCAAGCTTAGTTGAGCATGCAGGGCTACAGGTAACGAAGTCGTCTGAAAACTGTTTTCGACTGTAGGCTCACACACTGCCATGGAGAGCAGCAGTAAACTTTTGCAAAGCTTCCTGTCGATTAGTTCTCTGTCCGGGTGTAGGTCCTGAGTGGGCGCTGCCGGGTTTGACACGCTACGTAGGACCAGGCTTGCAAAGCACGGAACGCCCGCTTCAAGAGGACATGCTGGCATCTTCTGGCCTGCAAGCAGCAATGTCCATCGCACGAATGGGGCTCCCTCTCAAAGCCGCAGGAACTTTTTGTGTGTCTTTCTGGAGGGGCTCGAGCAGATGGGCGATAATGGGAGCCTGCGAAAATGATGCCATGGTCGGGCAAGGTGGCTGAGGGATTCCAACCCAGAGCTTGCCTTGAGAGTACGATTCCCGAGAACGGCTTCTCTTTCTCTGCGGTTGTACGGATATTTAGGGATTTTTCGAATTTGGATTTTACGGGCTTGCCGGTTCGACGGGAGCCGGCGTTGCCGAGTAGTTTCAACGTCCAGGCTTGGGCCCAGTCTGGACATCACTGCCACACTTCAAGAAGACACCTGTTGGGCGAAGTTCTGAGCCAACAGCGTCCACAAAAAACTCAGGGCTCCCTTTGGGAAACCGGCCGAAGCCAAAATGGCAAGGCTGCACCAAGAAACCGATAATGATACTATAATGGTACTATAATGAGACTAGACTGCCAGAAGGACCTGAGCAAAGGAAAACCCGATGCTGTATCCTCAAAACGAATATAGGCTCAAGAATATGTGCGAGACCTAGAGGGAACCAGCGCTTCCATAATCAGCTTCCTACATCGACAATCCTTGCTGTTTAAGGCTTGCCCACCGGCCCCTGCCCTTTCTTCCAGGGCCTGGTGAGCACATGATGGCCGACGGCCGCAAGGCCAAGAGTCACACCTACAAACACCCCGCCAGCGATCAGAGGCTCTTCGGGGATGGCTTGGTAGAGTGCCGCTTGAAGGATGTGAAAGCACGCAGCGCTCATGATAACTGCCGCGTACCCGACGCAGGTGGTAAGGATTCGAAGCAGGAGCGGTTTCGACTGGTGGATCGTCATCCAATGCGATACCCTGAACACGAACAAGTAATGCACTGGCACGACCCAGAGAAACCAAGCAATGGTGGTGATCAGCTTGGAAGCTGCAAAGCTGTAGGCACCGCCGTGAGCCCGGGCCGCGACTGGATCCAGCTGCCCCCAGAGGATACACGTTTGTACCCCAACCTCGAGCAAACAGGGACACTTACACCCTAAGGAAGTTGAACAGTCACTGGTCACACATTGGTGGAGAGCTTCCCTGTCAATGTACATTCTTTGACCTGTGTGCCATCACAGCCAGTGGCGACGAGTATTTGGCGATGCACACAATTCTTTCGTGTTCAAAACTTCCGGCCTGGCCTCGAAAATCCACTTTCACAAAGCATTTCTTGACA